ATTGATTTATTTTATGAGTTAAAGGACCACATAAAGAGAAAAAATAATACGAGAACCGCATTGATTATTTTCAAAAGTAGAAGGACCTCTGATAATTTTTAGTTTTTTATATAATACCTGAACTACTCATACCCCACCATAAATCCTTGTTTTCTCTCAATTTTATTTTTTTACCGAGTAAGTCACGCTATAAATTTTTTGAATTGCATCAAACGAAATTCAAATTATAAACTTTAACAAATTGAAATAAATTTATAATTTATTTATTTTTATATAATACTTAAATTGTTTATAAACTCTTAAATATATAAAAAAAACATTAAATTTAAACACAAACTATACCGGGCTGGGGTTGTATTCTGCCACACATAATTTGGATCATATAGAAATGGAGTGTTGGTTTAGGGTCAAAAAAGGCTTGAACTTTCAAACCCTCGGTCAGCTCCGGTCCAATTGCAATTGAGCCCTAGATCTAATCCACTTTCAATAGCGGTGAACCCAGATTTGAATTATGCTACTCCAAACCCCACATTGATTCTATATTCATAAATACAGTTATTTCATGTATGAGTTATATGCTCAACATACCAATTACCAATTTACTATCTTGAGCTGGAATTTGAGGAAAATCTTTTCCCATAGAGGGGAGGCAGCTATTGTCTTTGAGGCTTTGGGGGGGGGGGTTGATGCGTGAGATTCGGTCCAAAAAGGAAAGGGTGTCATGGTAGCGATTGATCCGGTTTACGTTGCATGTTTCCAGACACTCTGTCATCGTTTGGTAGGCCCTGCTTGATTGTCTGTCTACTCGTGATAGACTCGACCGTATGGGTATTAAAGGTTGGGAGCGTTTGTGTGTTGTGTAATGTTGCGGACGAGACTGGGTCCCATATTTTCTTTGGGTGCTCATTCTCGGTTGAGATTTGGAGAATTATTTTTGGCCACTAGCGGCATTCATCGCTCGATGCTGCATTGGGAGGGTGAGGTCGCCTAGGCTTGTGCTCATGCTCGGGGTAAGCTCGTCAGTGTCACCATTTTTAGATTGGCTTAGAACGCTTTCATCTATTTTGTTTGGAGGGAAAGAAATAATAGATTCTTTAGGAATTTGAGTTCGACAAGTGATGTAATTGTGAGTTCCATTAGGGAGACGATTCAAGCTAATGTTTATGGCAAATATAGAGAGAGGCTAAGCTCCCAACTTTGTATAAATTGGGGTAGTAGGAGTTTAGTATTTGGTTTTTATTGATATTTTTGGGTTGTATTTTTCTTTGGATATAATTTACACATTTTATCTAAAAAAAATAGGGTAAACTACGCATTTAGTACCTAAAATTTTACTTTTAATACGTTTTAGAAACTAAACTTTTAATTTTTACAAAATCATACCTAAAATTTATATTTATTTAATTAATATTAAATTAATAGAGAATTTATGAAGTTAAAAAATAATGTTTATTTTAATGATTTAATATTTTTTTTCTTAGGGAGAAGTCTTAAGTTTGAGTCATAGTTTTAATTAAAATATCTTGTTTTGTGGTGGTAATGGAGTATAAATTAAATATATTTTGTGGTGAATAAGTTTCAATTACCTTGCTTAGGCAAGTGTCCATGCATTTTTCTCTTCTCCAAGAGTGTGCGGGCTCAATTCTCAGGCTATGCACAAATTTGTTGACTTTATTTCATAGGGTGGTGACACATTAGATTTTAACTTTATGCATCTTGTAAAAAAACAATAAAAGAGTAATTAAGTGGAAAATAAAAAATAATTTAAAATTGTCGCATCAGTATCACTGTTAACTTTTTAATGGTGAGTAACAATAAATAAACAAAACTTAACGTTAAGTTTAATTTTAAAAAAATATATTTATTAGATGACCAAAACAAAAATAAAATAAATAATTAATTTATCATTTTAATTATATTTAAATTTTTAATTTTAAACCCTGAGCAAGAGCGCCCTGAACGAGTGCTAACTAAATCGTGAAAGTTGGAGCTTATATAATTATAAAAGGGGTAAACTATGCATATAGTCCATTTTGTTTAGAGTTTGACCATTTTAGTCACCAATTTAAAAATTAAGAAGAAATGATCCCTAATGTTATTGATATGTTCAATTTTAGTGCATCGACCATTAATTTTCATTAACCCCATTTTTTTTAAACCCCTAATATGGTTGAGGGACTAAAATCAAATAGAGGTTAACGAGTGAGGGATTGGAATTGAACGGATAGCTAATGTTAGGAACTAAAATCAAACATATAGATAGCGTTAGGGACTATTCCTCTTCAATTTTTATATTAGTAGTCGGTAAACCGAAAATATAGGAGACTATCTATATAGTTAACCCTTGTAAAAAGAAAAAGAAATTTTTTAAAAGAAAAACGTGATTAAAATGTCTGTTGGAAAAGAGGGGGACCGATCTATAGTAGGGGCTTTAAGTATCATAAGGTGCATTAATGAAAAAATTGAAAGGTATGCATCTGTTGTCTTGATCATATGACTCGCCTGAAATCATAGCAGCTGCTACAATTAACCCGTACCACTGTGACACAAATAGACCCTACACCAAATCTAACTTCAAAATTATTTACTCCGTCGTACATATATTACTGCGACTATAATATCCTTTCCTCACTTGATTTGTCGTACAATTTTATTATATCTCAAATATAAAATTTTCATATAGTGAAATTTTTAACTACGTTATACCGTTAACTGATATATCTTTTGGTCAGTTATCACCTATTATAGAGACTATTGATAAATCTAAGAAAACTGTTCATGACAAATCTAAGAAAACTGTTCAAGAAAATTTACTGATTGATAGCCGCATTTATTCATGGTTTTCAGAACCGGACCGGTTAGTGAATCAGTCATGTTATCGGTTCACTGGTTCAACCGATCGAATCGGTCCGATAGATCGAAAGAACTGGACGACGTTATAATTATTTAAAAAATTAAATAAAAATACCAAAAATATTTAATAAAAAATAAGTTTTATATCACAAGTCATATTCAAAGCAAGTCATAACATATATAAGTTAAAAACCATAAAATCAAGTGAAACAAAATGATTCAAATTAACTACAACATAATATTTAAGGTAAAACATATTAAATAATAAATATAATTATATAACTATAATTAAAAAATAAATTTGGGGCTAAAAAACTCATAACAAAATGATATTGTTTGGTTTAATTTTTTAAAAAAACAATCTCACATGGCTAAGAAACATAGAAGAGCATCCCAACTAACTTCTATAAATAATAGAGGTAATTTGACATTCAAAATCATAGAGTCTTTTGGTGAGCATTGAGTAAACTATTCTTTCACTTCAATCAAGCTCAAATTTTAGGCTTCAATCGAGCTTCTAATTTTTTTTGAGTTCAAGCCTTTTCGAGTTCAAGTTTCAATATTATATTTCGAGTTCGAGTTGAACTTGATAATTTTTAGCTTGTGAGTTTGAGTCGAGTTGAGCTTACTTTTAAAGTTTTCAAGTTCGAGTCGAGCTCGGCAATACTCGAGTTTGACTTGGCTCTTTTAACAAACGACGTCGTTTGGTTTAATTTAAAAAAAAAAATTAGCAGTTTTTTCCCCCTTTTTTCGGTTTTCAGCCGATCCGGTTCAGCGGTTCTGGCCGGTTCACTAGTAGCGGTTCAACCGGTGTAGATTGAACCGGACTAGGTAACGGTTCCCGGTTAAACTGGCGGTCCAGTCCGATTTTCAAAACACTGCATTTATTTACTCTGTTGATTGACAAATAATAATTATAGTCTCAGGACTGACACCAAAACACATGAAGAGTCGATATATAAATCCGACAAGTGGAACCAAAAAGAATAAATCACCTACAATCTTTGTAACCTCTTTATTCCTATCAATATTTTTCTTAGGGTAAATTACATCGTTCCTCACTAAACTTTACTCTCTCTCCTATTTTTATCACCCAACTTTCAATTTGATCAATTTGCTCACTGAACTTTACAGATTCAATCATTTTGCTCACTCTACCGTTAACTATTTAATGACATTATGACGTGACACAAGCATCAAAACGATATCGCTTTAAAAACTCAAATATATTCCAAAACGTCGTTTCAATGAGTAAAATAGGAGAGAGAGTAAAGTTCAGTGACTCATGGTGTAATTTACCTTTTTCCTTCTCTTCTTCATTTTCTCTCATTCGACCCCATGTCATTTTCATTTCGGCCACCGTCGACTGCCATAGATGATGGTCGTTTGGTCCCAAGTTTCATGGGTCGATTCGTCTCGACCCCCTGAGTCTGAATCTGGTGTTGTTTTACCGGAAAATATCCGGACTGAAACGTTTTGGTTTCCTCACTTTCAATCTCAAATTTGTGGACTTCGGAGTAGATTCCAACAAAATGGAGGTCGTATTCGGACTCAAGGTGTCGAGGCGAAACGACCCATCCCAATTTTAAGACCAAACGACCACCATCTACGGCGGTCGACAGTGGCCGGTGGTGGTATGATCACCTTCTGTTTTTATTTTATTTTATAATTATTTTATATTAAATAATAATAAAATTGACATGTCATCAGCGGTTAGAGAGAAAACGATCGAGTGAGCAAAATGATTCGATTGTAAAGTTTAGTGATCAAATTGAAAGTTGGGTGAAGAAAATAAGAGAGAGAGTATAATATAGTGAGTAACAGTGTAATTTACCCTTTTTCTTATATTTCCTTAATAAAATTTCCATTCCTTTTTCATTGTAGTAAAATAAATTGTCATGACTGCTGAATGAAATTGTGTCAGTACTGCCTTCTATTTATTAATTATTGTTCAGTATGCAGTATGCACAGATACTCTTTTGTCTCTTCTAACATCTTGTATCGGATAATAATTTTGTTTTGTATGAATTTAATAATGTTCCAATAAAAAGCTTTGGGATAAAAAAAATTATTCATCACATGCATCAATGTTCGAAATGGTTAATCACTGAATTGCATGCATAAACTATTTTCGATTCAAAGTGATATTACTCAAACATATCGGCTATTGGGCAGCTTCCATTTGATGCCTCAACTTCCATGCATGAAAATGAAACTGGAATACCTATCAAAGTATCCGGTTCAGATGAACCCTCGTTAAAATCCGCAGCCGCCACTACACTATCGACGAACCATGCGTTCTCCGTTGCGTATTGCGTTAACGCCGTCATCGAGGACGTAGGCTCATCCATCCAGTCTTCTAGTTCTTGCATCTGACCCATGTAAACCAATTCATTGCATGTGTATAAACGATTGTCTGCATTGGGGTATGCAGCAGTTTCGAATGCCGGAACTTGAACCGAAGCATTAGGGGAGTTCGATATCGACGTAGGGAAGTTAAACATGCCGGTAACTATAGCTTGCCATGCTTTGAGCACATCGATGCACTTCGGTCTCGGATTTAGAGGTAAAGGATCAGTCCCCGGGTGGATCTTCGGTTGGATTTGGACTGGGAAGGCTTGCTTGTTCGACGAATTGCGGCCCGCTGCCCTCGCTTCTGCTTCGAGGCGAGCTCTTTCCCACTGACCCATATGGTTTAGATTTGAGTCGCGACATTCGTGGCCAGACGAGCCAAGTGCATCGATTCGGGGCTTGTGGGTCATGGGATCGATCCCCATCTTGATTAGCCTCTTCTTCAGATGAGTATTCCAATGATTCTTGATCTCGTTATCAGTCCTCTTGGGCAAATGAACCGCTATAGCCGACCATCTAAAATTACATATAAAAAAGAAAAACGATTCAAAGCTCCATTTTTTTAAGAAGATCGAACAAATCAACACGACGGATCTTAGTGATCACCTGTTGCCAAGAAAAGCATGGAGCTGGATAATGGTTTGTTCTTCACGTAAACTGAACTTTCCTCTCTTGATATCAGGTCGTAAATAGTTTATCCATCTCAATCTACAACTCTTCCCGCATCTCTTCAAACCTGAAACAAAAACAAGTAAACGTAAAACATAAGCTCATGGAGTTGATCAATCAATCATAAATAAACCACCTGCTTTCTCCGGCAAGGAACTCCAGCTGCCATGGCCATGCTGTTGAATATAAGCGGTCAGCTTTTGGTCTTCTTCGGTGGTCCAGGGACCTCTTTTCAACCCTTCCTTTTCATAGCATAAAGTAGAGCGACCCATTATCAAAACAATCTGAGTGGAAATAAAGTCGGAGATGTGCTTGATTTTATGCCTGGTTTGGTAAGTTTTGGCCATGCATGGGTCGTGAAAGGTAAGTTTATTTAAACTGAAATAATGGATATGGTGAAGGGTTAGATTGTAGCACTTAATACCAGATATAATCGGACAGATCGTGTCAAAAACAGGGTGGACAATACCCAATCTTCCTCGACTTGAAATGGTCCCTCTGCGGCTCTGCCTTCAGTGAAATTATTTTTGAAGCACGAACTAAGCTGCTCTGCCTTTGGTGAAATTATTTTTGAAGCACGAACTAAGCGACCTCAGTTGTAAAAGAGTTGTAAAAGAGTTGTTATTTTTTTATGTTTCAAATTCAAGCACATAAGAATGCAAGATGCGTAAACGTTCATTGTCAAATAATTAATAATCATCTATGAACATATGATGTCTTGTACTTATCTCAAATTAATAAAAAAAAATTAAAACCAATTTTTTAAACTTATTTTTAATAATATGTTATAATTTTAGTCGTTGACAGTACATAAAATTATATTAAAAACTTAGATTTTCTTTTTAAAATGTTTTTAAAGTTTAACAAAACTTATAATCATAATTAACACTAATAGAATTTGTCATTTTAAAATGCTCATCTTAGCATCTTAAAGCCTGAACAAAAAATATATATCTTCACACCAATAATAATTAAATCTCACCTAATTTTTTCCCAAGAATCATTGTGGGTGGAAACTTAATGTATGACATAACTAATTCTTATCATCTTATAGCTCAAGTGGGGGTATAGCTAGGGAGTCAAATTAAAGCCAAAATTTAATATAAAAATGAATCATATCATGTATTTATATTTTGCATAAACTAATATCACATGTATATTTCACGCCACACAGCATGTATTAACTACACTGGTATGGAGCTAGTCACAACACATGCTTGATTCTAGTAAGAAATGGAGCCTATTGCACTAGAAAACCGAAAACTGATCTGGCACTTACCGTCAAGGGCCAAGGCCTCGACACCATGGCACCACCATTCACAGCTGCAAACCGAAACAGGGTTAACCTTATATGGAAAAGATGCATAAAAACTATGTCGGAAGAAGACCGCAGTGGTAGAGATCGATTGCATAATTGGAGCGTTCGATGCTATAAATCAAACATGAATATATTAAATTTTTTTTATAGAAAGCATGAATATATTTAACAATAAGCAAAGTTGTGTCTAGATATTGCATTTTTACAAATAGCAGTGAGTGCTTATTAGGAAACGTAAGCTCAAATGGACTTACTCTGTTGCACCTGGGGATTACATAGCCATGGCCGCTAGGAAAGGGAAACCGGCTTTTTAAGACCTTCCTTCCCATGCTGGTATTCAAGTATATATCAAAGAAGCCGTTAGCTTGTAATTCATATTGGCATCTGAAGCCTGATCAGGTCAATTATTCAGAAGGAAGAAAGCCCCGAAATTTGCGTAACTTCTCATAAGAGACCCAAAACACAAATTGCCAAGGACCAAGCCTTGCTCAGGTAGGAAAGAAACCTTTCCACAATGCTGTTAATCCTTCGATATTCACCGTCTTCATCAAACAATCACACAGAACTCTTGTGCATGCATGAGATTCCCTTCCTTACCGACTGCTTGATTCATCATTCTTGTCTTCACAACATCAGCTGGACAATTCAAGGTTGTAGCGGCGAGACCCGACATGATTGATGCCAATGTATGTGCATATCTGAAGGTATCAAAGACTTCTGATTTCTTCTTCAGAAAATAAACCCATACCTTCCTTGTTGAATCATCGATGCAGGTGACATAATATAGTGAGCTTGCAAGAGATGAAACTGAAGATGGTCTCCATACATCAGTATGAATCAACTCTAATTTTTCTGCCTTGGGTGTCTTGCCAATCTTTGCAAAACTGACTTTCTTTTGTTTGCCAAAGATGCAATCCTCGCATAGTCCGACATCTACATTCTTTAGATCCGACAGCTTCCCTTTTGACAAAAGTGTCTTCATCCCTTTCTCGCTCATATGGTCAAGCCTTTGGTGCCATAGGTTTGATTTTACATCAGCATCTGCCACTGTAATTATATTCTCTAAATTTGAGGTTTGATAATGGAGGAGAGTACAGAAATAGGAGATTCAGAGATTTCTGCGCAAACAATGGGATCAAGATGGAGACAACAGTTCCCATGACACCGTAGCAGAATGGTGTAGCAGAGTGCATGAACAGAGCTCTGAATGAACGTGCCAGAAGCATGAGGATACATGCCGGATTGCCCAAATTTCTATGGGCTGAAGCTATCAACACTGCAGCTTACCTGATCAACCGTGGGCCCTCAGTTCCCTTGGATGGTGGAATACCAGAGGAATTTTAGAGCAAGAAAGAAATATACCTTTCACACTTAAGAGTGTTTGGTTGTATTTCTTATGTACACATAAATTCTGCTAAAAGAAGTAAACTTGACGCCAAGTCCAACAAATGTGTCTTTGTTTGTTATGATGGTGATGAGTTCGGTTACCGGTTTTGGGAGTATGAAAATCGGAAGATCATCAGAAGCAGAGATGACATTTTCAATGAGAATGTGATGTACAAAGACATGTCAACCATAGAATCAAGTAGCTCCAAGAGTGAAGCTGAAACAAAGGAATTTGTTGAGTTTGAGAAGATTTCTGAAAATGATGTTCAGATCAGTACTGAAGCAGTTTAAGAAGAACCAGACACACCAGAATTGAGACGCTCTCCAGAATTCCTAAACCAACCCAACATTATTCGCCTTCTTTGCACTACTTGTTGTTGATTGACAAAGGTGAACCAGAGTGCTATGATGAAGCAATGCAAGTGGAGGATTCAGTCAAGTGGGAATCTTCCATGAAAGATGAGATGGACTCGCTTATGTCAAATCAGACGTGGGAATTAGCTGAATTACCACCAGGCAAGAAAGCGCTCCCTAACAAGTGGATTTACAGGATCAAAGAAGAGCACGATGGGAGCAAACACTACAAAGCAAGATTGGTTGTCAAAGGTTTTCAGCAAAAAGAATGTATTGACTACAATGAAATTTTCTCTCCAGTCGTAAAATTGTCTACAATCAGACTGGTGTTGAAAATTGTAGCTGCAGAGAATCTACATCTTGAGCAGTTAGATGTGAAGACAACTTTCCGTCATGGTGATTTGGAGGAAGAAATCTATATGAGACAGCCATAAGGCTTCATAAAGGCAGACAAGAAAAACCTGGTATGCAGGTTGAAGAAGAGCTTGTATGGTTTAAAACAAGCTCCTAGACAGTGGTACAAGAAGTTCGATAGTTTCATGAGTAGCAGTGGTTTTACCAGATGCCAAGCAGATCATTGTTGCTACATCAAGAGGTTCGAAAACAACTTCATTATTTTATTGTTGTACGTTATTGACATGCTCGTTGCAGGTTCAGACATGCAAGAGATTATAAACTTGAAGAAAAAATTGTCGAAACAGTTTGCAATGAAAGATCTGGGCGCTGCAAAGCAGATTCTTGGGATGAGGATCAAGAGAGGCACAAAGTTGGGGACTTTGATGTTATCACAGGCTGAGTACATCAACAAAGTATTCTCCAGGTTCAACATGCAAGATGCTAAACTAGTAAGTACACCTTTAGGTGTTCATTTTAGACTCTCTAAAGAACAGTCACCAAAGACGGAGGAAGAACGTGCACACATGGTGAAGGTATCGTATGCCTTAATAATTGGAAGTCTGATGTATGCCATGGTTTGTACTAGACTAGATATTGCTCATGCAGTGGGAGCTGTTAGCAGGTACATGAATAATCCAGGAAAGGTACACTAGGAAGCAGTCAAATTGGATCCTCAGATATCTATGGGGTACTACAAACAAAGACTTTGTTTCAAAGGTGGAGATACGATACTGACAGGCTATGTAGATGCTGACTTAACCGGAAATGTCAACATTAAAAGAAGCACTACAGGGTATGTCTATACTCTAGGAGGAACTGCAGTGAGTTGGGTTTCTCAACTACAAAAGATAGTTGCTCTCTCCACAACTGAAGCAGAATATGTTGTTATTACAGAAGCCATCAAGGAGATGATCTGGCTCCAAAGTTTCTTGGAAGAGTTAGGCAAGAAACAAGAAAACAATGCCTTGTATTGCGACAGTCAAAGTGCTATCCATCTAGCAAAGAATTCGTCTTTTCATTCTAGGACGAAGCACATACAATTGCGATATCATTTTATCCGGTCTCTTCTGGAAGATGGGATTTTAAAACTTGAAAAGATTAGTGGAGCTCAAAATCCGGCAGACATGTTGACAAAGACGGTGACCACAGACAAACTAAAGTTGTGTTCAGCTTCAGTTAGCATGCTAGAATAACAAAACTAGAAATACTGCTGCATTGATTGAGGTGTGAGGACAGATTAAAATCAGTTTTCAAGTGGGAGATTGTTGAAAATGAATAACACGTGGGCTGCTAAATGACAACACATGGGCTGCTATTTTTGTTGGAAAATTAGGCAGCCAACTTTGTTTGAAATAAAAATGGGGAAAATGCAATTTTAGTTATTGCACTTTAGGGTATTTCAAAGATTAGTCCCTAAGCTTCAACTATAAATACCCTAGCTCATTTAGCTTCAAAATCATCCCAAAATCATTTCTTTCTCCCAATACTAGAGAGTTTTCTTGTGAGTATTGAGTGTTTTGTAAACACCTGTAAATTTTCTCTCTTAGTAAAAGATCTGTAGCAGTCCGGAGACGTAGGCATAATTGGCTGAACTCCGTTATCAATTCCGGGTATTATTTTTCCGCTTTTATTTTACATTCTCACTAATATGATTATAGGAAAATTACTCGTATATTTCCTAACATGTGCATAACATCTAACATGTGCATAGATGTTATCATCAGCTATCTGATTATTGATGACAAGACGTTTTGCATGATCATAACAAGCTAGTTCCCCCATTTTCACCAAAAATGCCCTATGAATATTCAGCAAAACCAACGACCTCAAATACCTTCCGCGGCCACAATCTTTTTAAAAAGCATCAAATGCTCCTTTGTATCTAGGTTGAAGACCCTGGCTTATAAGACGGCCATCCACTTGCATCCTCACCTTAACAAGATCAGCTGGACTTGCATCCTGAGAGGTAACACTTTCTCCATTCAATTTTCATTGTTCCTGCAGTTCAAATTTCTCCCGAGGTGAATCTTGATGAGTTTGAATAGTTCTCTTTCCAATAAAGTTATAGTTTTGACTTTTGAGGGAAGGGTGGGGTTATGACAGGGACACAGTTACTTCTTGTTATGTAGCTCAAAATCCTTTTAAAACTCTTTCTTTTGCATTTTCTCGTTTTCCAGATACATTTGGAGAGAGTAGCATGCAGAAACCCCATAACACTGCCACTGCCAACACAACCCACACCTTCATTTAATGGAAATGGAGAGTCTTGGTTTTGGACGTGCTTCCAAGAGGAGGAAAACGACTTTTATAACAATTTTTGGTACTCATAATTCCACTTCTTCATAGTCAAACGAAGAATTGTTCCATTAATTAGAGAACTTATCATATACTTGTCTTCTAGTGTAGAGTCAATGGCACATCCACAATGCATACTTTATTAGAATATGTTCCTTCAATACTTCACAAAATTAGATTATTATTTTTTATTTGAACATAGTACTTATATTAATTTATTTTTAATCTATTAATAGCCTCATCCAATTGCTTATACTCATTTGAGGATAACATTATGCGCTAAATTCACAAAAGAAATTAGTATTGTAATTTGTGAGGCGAGGTTGGGATTCCATGGGGATGATGCTCCTACAGTTGAAATCAACTACTTCGAATCTGAGAGGAAGAACAATTTAAAGAGTGAGCTACAACAACTCATTAATGAACATTTATTCAAAAGAAATCATACATTGTAAGTTAATTAACATAGTTGAGAATATCACGCATATTTATCTGCAATTAATTTATTGAATGTCTCCACTTTATTTTTCAAAGCTCTCGTGCGAGTTAATCGAAATAAATATGATTAAATGCTCTCATGCGAGTCATTCTGATTCTTAGAGGCTCTCGGGTGAGTTGCTCGTAATAAATATGATTAGGTGCTCTCATCTGAGTCACTCTAATCCTTCGGGACTCTCATGTGAGACACCCGAAATAAATATGAATTTATTTGATTATTCTTTAATAGCTTATTTTTCTCTTTTATACACATTTATTTATTTGTCTAATCTGCAATAAGTCAATCTCAATCACCAGCGATTAATCATTTAATTTTTATTAAACATTTCAAGCCATGTAGTATTGGTACTAAATATGGAGTATCAATACTGCACATGCTCGAGTACTGATACTAAGGTTGGTACTGATACCAAAATGGCATTAAAAAATTTCAAGATTTCCCAAGATATAATAGAGTATCAATACCTATTCATATGTATCGGTACTGAGAAGAATAATATCAATACCGCTTTGATATTTTATCCCCATATTTTTTAAAATCCTCAAGGGTATTGATATTGTTCTAATAGTATCGGTACTGAAACCCATATTATGGTTTCTCAAGGCTTTGAATGTCACCAAAATCTCAAACAACTATCATATCATAGTCAATATATTAACATCCAACTCAGATTATTGTCAATTTTTAACGAAAAATGACGAGTTTGGAATATATGAAATAGTCGAGCGACCGTTTTATAACTTTTAATAGTTGATGGACTCAAAAAAGCAACATCATATAGTCGGATGACTATTTGTGTAATTTACCTATTTATAAATCATCTATCAAATTGAGTGACCGATGAAAATCAAACTTAATACTAGTTAAGGCCAAGAAAACGAAAGCAACAACTTGAAGCTAATCTAGCAAGGTTATCTACACTGATAAACACACAAGTTGAAGGCTTGAAGCCCAGTAATGTGTTAGCTATGTCTTAACAATTGATGTCCATATCCTTTGAACTAGGCTATTCAACCTACCGGGAGAATTTACCTTTCTTTGGACGAATCTTCCAGCTGCCAGTCCCATTTCATGCACAAATTGTACAGACTCCAATAGTCGATTGAGTAGATTCATTCCGGCAATTACTTCATTCCTTCCCATCTGCAACTGAGGGTCAATAAAGTGAACTTGAGTCTGAATGAAAAGTTCTATACCGATGAAAAGAAAACATAAAATGTACCTTACACAAACATATACTTGCAACTAGCTGCTAGAAGAAAGCTAGATATCCCACAATATGAAATAAATGCTGGAATCTTGTCAAAGAAAACCTCAAGAGTTTGATGGATGAGGTCATTAGAACCGGCGGTTGGGGGAAGAAAATAGATTATGGTGGATTAGGTAATTTGATTTGTAGTCATGTAGTTCTAGTTTCTTGGTTTTGTTCTATGCAGTTGCTCCCATGCTTCCCCTGAGTTCTCCTCATCCAGCTCTTCTTCTTACTTTAGTGGTATGATTTTTATGTTTAGTGATAGAAACGACACAGCCTAAAATTCGGTGATATAAGAAGTTCAGAGTTTGTTGTCGAAAGTTAAATTCAAGGTGACTACGAATGAACATTCGATTCCTATGATTATATAATTTGTGATGTGAATTTGTATTGCTCAATTAGTTAGATTGTGCATTGCTCGAATATGACAAATAAAGGGAGAAGAGATAGGAGGAAGCTCAACATGCTGTTTATTATTTGTTATTATGCTGTAATAGTGTCGAGTATGCTCGACTTGTTGATATGTTTTTTGGTGATCTTAGTAAGAGGAGTATATTTTGGATTGAATCAATTGTGTGCATATTTTGGATTTGACGATATTGGTGAAGTACTGAATTGTGATATAATATGAAACACAATTTGTGGATGCGAAGAATTAACAATAGTAAGACAAACACGATAGATTATGAAGCTGTAATAGTGTTGTTGGGAAACAGAGGCAATTGAGAAAGCCATTCCCAAAGGCCAGTGCTGATTGTAGGAAGAAGATGAAGAGAGCAATAGTAAGTGTTTCATTGGAGTAACAGATGGTGTTGGATTACAGGATCCAACACTTAATCATTCCATACATATAAAGAAGCTAACATATGCTTGGATGGTCATGGCTGCCCCTCAAACCAAATCTGGTTATTTATGGCTGTCCCTGAGTCCAAATCTGGCTACGTCGTTGTTGGTCGTAGTCATCGAGCATAACCTTTGAATATTGCACATCCAGCACCTTTCCGGTACTCACATGCAAAATGGTAGAACCATTTTGAAATCTCCATCGTTCTGGACAACAGTCTTGACAGGACGTTAACATACTGATCGGAATATGATAAAATTTGATCTTAAAATCTTAAACTATTGTCATATTTCGATCAGCATGTTAACGTCCAACTCAGACGATCATCAGTTTTTGAATAGAAAAAAGTTAGTTTGGAGTATATGAATTGTCGGGTGACTATTTTATAGCTTTTGATAGTCAAAGGATTCAACAAAGCAATGTCCTATAATCGAAGGACCATTTTGTAATTTTTACTAGTCAATGACTCAACAAAACAACATTCTATAGCCGAGGGACCGTTTGTGTACTTCACCCAAAATAATATTTATAAATCATTTATCAAACTGAATAATTAATCATAATCTAATTGTGATACTTGTTAAGATACTAATGAATGAATGAGGGTTGCTTGAAGTGCATACATCAACTGTATATGGAAGCATACATCAACTGTATATGGAAGGAAAGGAATAGAAGGGTACTTGGGGGGGCTCGAAGGAGTGCGGACGATTTGATTGGAGAGATTAAAGATGAGGTTCGGCTGCGGTTTTAGGGGAAGCTATTAAGCAATATGGTTGCTCAATAACATAAAATAAGCTATTTCGATCGACACCTCTCTTTGCTAAAGTATCTGCAAATCCATTTGCTTTTAGGAGTATACAAATGGTGTTGGATTACAGGATCCAACATTTGTTTTATTCAACATATATAAAGACGCTGACATATGGTTGTTTATGATTTCCCCTGAAACCAAGTTTGGCTAGGTCGTTGTTGGCTGTGATCATTGACGGTAACCTCTGTATCTTCCACATCCAGCACCTTTTGAGTACCCACATGCAAAATGGTTCCATCATTTTGAAATCTCCATCTTTCTCCGATCCATCCATCGCACGTAGCTAGGTTGACCGATGCTCCACCGGCATTTGCAAACTTGAGACACTCATTTCGATTGGATCGAGGGCTGATGGTTCCGTCCGGGGACACTGCCCATTGTTGTTCAGCATCAGCATCCTTTCCAGCACATTTTTCCAGCCGCACCTGACTTCCTCTACCGACCAAGCACTGTCCTTGGTAACTGAAGATGGTGGTCATCGGTGAAATTGCATATTTGGTGGCGTAAAAAACTTGCTTAGAAGCATTAGTATTATAATCTACAACTAAATTGATCGTTCCTGTGCTGTCTTTACTTGCCGTCAAGACCAGCCCTGATTTAGGATTTCTTATAGCTCCATCGCTACGGATTTCCCATTTGGTGGCATCGGGGGCAGCCGTGTCACAATCGTAGATCATCACGTAGCTTCCGGAGCTGTATCCATATGTTGTTAAGCATTTTCCGTTGGATCGAATTGTGTTATCCTCTGATCTCAATGTCCACAATTGATTGGTTTGATTCTGTCCACATTTCCATAAGATTATTGAGTTTCCATCGTGGTACCTTCCCCCGTATACGTCAACACAAAGACCATTTTGTCCAAGGATGTGCGACGTTGGAGCTAACACTACCTCACAAGTGTCATTGTTCTCTCGGAGGCCGGGTTAGCTCATAGCCATAGGCAAAGTAGAGGAAAACTCGAACTCTTTTACCCAAGTTTCATCGTCCTCTTGGAGGACTGGCAAAGAAGAGGATGATATTGATGCTGGCATCTGCAAAATCTGAAGATTAGCTCTTCTGTTTTGGCATACTATTTGCATTAATGCAACAATGAAACGCACGGATGCCACCGTGTCGAAAATCACTGGTTCTTCTCCAGGAGCAAGTACTAAACGGACATCTCTTGGAAAGACTCCATATATTGCAGACTGGACGTTTTCGGAGATGGAGTCCCAATTGTTTTGAAACGCCCTCATTAAAGCATCTGGATATAACACTGGACAAGATCCATCCGGAAGAGGCTGTGCCACCTCAGCTATTTCCCCCTCGATGAATCTAAATCGCGCAGGTTCCGAAATCATCTGGATGCAAACTAAAATGGCTCTTGCGATTGTACGATCATGTGGACTAGCAGGTTCGTACTCATTCATGTTCCGAATATGATGCTGTAGCTCTTCAATTCCCAGAGGGATTTGACTTCTGCTATCCACTCCTGCAGCTCCTTCTAGTGACCCATAACGTTCGGTAAATGGAAGAGCCCGTCCTTGAGTGTTTGGGAACACAACATTTCGTACAGCTTCGGGTACACCGGGAAACAAGTGTGACCTCGCTCCATTTCCTCGTCGATAACCCAACACATACACACTGGTGACATCCAAAGCTATTGTGACGCTTTGGTCCCCATCTAAGAGTTGCACCAAAACATATCGACGGGGACTAGTTTCCGCCATGTCTCCTCTTGATCGGTTAGGTAATAACGCGATTTCACCGTCAGTGCTTCCATATCGGAACAATTCAGTTCTGAGTTGAGTTATAAAAAGCCTATAGGTTAGCCTAGTGGCAGTCCTAAGATTGAATGTGACCGTCGGAGGTTGGGCCAGGGATATGGAACAACCCCATAGCACTGCCACTGCCAGCACAACCCACACCTTCATTTGAGGACAATTGTTTTAATGGAAATGGAGAGTTTGACAATGCTTGGATTTGGACGTGCTTCCAGGAGGAGGAGAACGCCTTTAATAACAATTTTTGTTTCTTCATAATTCAACTTCATAGTCAAATGAAGGATGGTCCCATCATTAATTAAATATCTAATCGATACTTGTCTTCTTGTGCAGAGGTAATGTCACATTGACAATGCATGCTTCACTATAATATACTTTCTCACTATGCTTCAAAAAGTCAGATTAATAATACCATTAATCAATAATAGATTATATGCGGATAGTTGTACCAAAGAAAATCTCACTATGCTTCAAAAAGTCAGATTAAGAATACCCAATCTGGATTAATCAATTAATAGATTATATGCCGATAGTTGTACTAAAGAAAATCAGATTAAGAGTTCACACTAGAGTTTACTATATATTTATAAGTCTTTGAATATTTTTTACCTTATTCGATGAAGTAGATTAATGGTGTTAATAGTTTTTATTTAAAAGACAGGTGGTTAGGCATCATAACAAAACAAAAGGTTGTTAGACAATGTTAAATATACAAGGGGTCATAAATTAGGTTAACGATTTTGGATTAAATCCAACTGATCTGTAATTTTTCTGTCCATTTATTCATATCTATCTTCTAGTAATCAAATTATCAAAATATTTTATATTTTAACACAAAGAATATACTATAAATTAACATTCAAAATCAGATTAGTCGTGTCTCATGGTTAGATAAGTCATGTGAATGAGCCCAACTACAATTAATAAATTATCGAGTGAAATTAATTTATTGTTAGTTCATGTAATAAGACTTTGACTAAAGAGATTAGTAATATGAAGATCAAAATATTAAAGCATTTTAGATTCTGGCAATACTATTCAATCGATAGCAGTCCCAAGTGAACCGGTCACAACGAAACTTTTAAACTATAACGTTTGGGGATGTCCCGAACGGTGCACTGTCTTCGGCATTTGCTGTTTGACACTAACCCACCTATAATTTTCTTTATGGAGACAAAACTACAAAATTACGTATGGAGAAAATAAGAAAGTCTTGTGGTTTTTCAAATGAAATAGAAATTTGAATCCCTTGGGACTCAAGGGGGCAATGTTTGGCTTGGAAGCCAATTTACGATGTTTTGTTGCGTTCTATTTCTACTTCTCATATTGGCGTGCTTTTCACTAATAACCCCGTTGGTTTTACTTGGCGTTGTACGGGATTTTATGTTGAAAGTCAAGCCATTTCGATGCAATTAATGTATTGAATGGCAATTGTCAAAAAGCTTGGGATGCAGAAATTGTTTTCAACATTCGGTGCAACATTTGTTGATTTTTTAACAATGGTAAAATCTCAATTTTAGTCATTGTAATTTAAGGTATTTACAAATTAGTCCTTAAAGCTTCAACTATAAATACCCTAGCTCATTTAGCTTCAAAATCATCCCAAAGCATTCTAGCTTTCTTCCAATACTAGAGAGAATTTAGAGAGTTTCTTGAGAGTTGTTTTCTCCTTTTTATCAAGAGAGAATTATCATTGTTTTCTCCTTGGTCGATTGAGAGAAGTTGTAATTCCTATTTTCTCATAGTGAAATTCTTCTACCGTTGCCCGTGGTTTTTACCCTATATTATTCATGGGTTTTCCACGTAAATTTTGTGTCTCTTTTATCTTCATTTTTATTTTCTCAAATTATCAGTTGCGATTTTGCTCTATCCGATAGCCGTCTTCTGCAACAATTGATATCAGAGCTAGATTAAAGTGTGTAATATCTGCTTATTGTCTTTGTGGTTGCCACCAAAAAGGTGGATCCTCCAACATAAGAAAGTAAGAAGGTATTACCCATTCTTTGAAGGTTCCAGAGAACTATTCACGATAGTGAAATAGTGGGAGCTATCCGTAAAAGAAGCTATGGCAATGAAATTTGATATTGAAAAATTCAATGTGAGAAATTTCTCATTGTGAAAATTGAAGATGAAGGCCATCCTGAGGAAAGACGGGTGTCTAGCAGCTATCAGTGAAAGGCCGGTAGATTTCACAGATGACAACAAATGGATCGAAATGGACGGGAATGCTATGGCAAACTTTCATCTAGCATTAGCAGATGAAGTATTGTCAAGCATCGAGGAGAAGAAGACAGCTAAGGAGATATGAGATCATCTCACCAAATTGTACGAGGCCACATCGTTGCACAATAAAATTTTCCTTAAGAGGAAATTGTACACTCTTCGTATGCAGAATCTACTTCAGTGACAGAGCACTTAAATACGCTGAAAACTTTATTTTCTCAGCTTACATCCTTAAGCTGTAAAATAGGAGAACAAGAACGTGCTGAACTTCTACTTCAAAGTCTACCGGATTCGTATGATCAACTCATCATCAACTTGACAAACAGTAATGTCACCAGTCTAGTCTTCGATGACGTTGCAGTTGCAGTTCTACAAGAAGAAAATCGGCGCAATAACAAGGAAGACAGACAAGTAAATCTGTAACAAGCAGAAGCGTTGACAACGACAAGAGGGAGATCAACAGAACGTGGCCAAAGCAGCAGTCACAAACATGGTAGATCGAAGTCGAGTGAGCAAGAAGAATTTAAAGTGCTACAACTGTGGAAAGAAGGGTCACTTGAAGAAGGATTGTTGGAGTCTAAATAAAAACTCCAATCCACAAGGCAATACCGCAAACACTTCAGATGATGGAGATGCTCTATGCTGTGAAACGTCAACCACCGTGGAAGGAAGAAAACGATTTGCAGATATATAGCTTATTGATTCGGGAGCAACATATCACATGACCTCAAGAAGAGAATGGTTCCATCATTATGAACCTGCCTCAAGAGGATCTGTGTATAGTTGCAATGATCATGCCTTAGAGATCGTTGGCGTGGGGACCATCAAATTGAAGATGTATGATGGAACAATTAAAATTGTTCGAGATGTACGACACGTGAAAGGCCTGAAGAAAAATTTATTATCCTACGGATTGTTGGATAATAATGCAAGCAAGATTGAAACACGAAAAGAAATCATGAAGGTGTTCCGTGGAGCGCTTGTGGTGCTGAAAGGCGAAAAAATAGCAGCAAACTTGTACATGCTGAAGGGAGAGACTTTGATAGAAGCAGAAGCCTCTGTTGCCTCGTGTAGTTCAAATTCTGCAATGCTATGGCATCATAAACTTGGACACATGTCAGAACAAGGAATGAAAGTCCTTGTGGAGCAAAACCTACTTCCAGGCTTAACAAAGGTAACACTTCTTTTGTGTGACCATTGTATAACAAGTAAGCAGCACCGATTAAAATTCAACAAATCAAATTCTAGAGGCAAAAGTGTTTTAGAATTGGTTCACTCTGACGTATGGCAAGCACCAGTTACATCCCTAGTGGAGCAAAATACTTTGTCTCATTTATTGATGATTACTCCAGGAGATGTTGGGTGTACCCTATCAAGAAGAAGTTAGACGTGTTTTCAACTTTCAAAAACTTCAAGGCACGAATGGAACTTGATTCTGGAAATAAGATCAAGTGTTTCAGAACAGATAATGGAGGAGAATATACAAGCGAAGAATTTGATGACTTTTACAGGAAAGAAGGCATCAAAAGACAGTTTACAGTGGCGAAAACTCCTCAATAAAATGGAGTGGCAGAGCGGATGAACAGAACCTTGTTAGAAAGAACAAGAGCAATGTTAAGGGATGCAAGCCTAGAAAAATCATTCTGGGCAGAAGCAGTCAATACCGCCTGTTATTTGGTGAATCGAGCTCCATCAACTGCAATAGAGCTGATGACACCAATGAAGATGTGGACTGGTAAACCAACTGATTATTCAAACCTCCATATATTTGAAATTATTGTGTACGTGATGTACAACTCCCAAGAAATCTCAAAGCTGGATCCAAAATCCAGGAAATGAAAATTCTTGGGGTATGCTGATGGAGTAAAGGGGTATCGCTTGTGGGATCCCACTGCCCGTAAAGTGATCATCAACAGGGATGTCATCTTTGTAGAAGATAAGCTACAAAGAAAAGAAGACGATGATAGCACTGAAAAGTCAGAGACTACACAGATACATGTGGAAAAAGGGGTTGAACAAGGAGATTCTTCTGAAGCAGAACCAACACATGATGAACAAGAACCAGAGAGTTCTGAAGCTCCAACAACTCGTTAATCAGATCGTGTGAAAAGACGTCCCAATTGGCACTCAGATTATGTTATATAAGGTAATATTGCATACTGCCTTTTAACAGAGGATGGTGAGCCATCAACATACCAGGAGGCAATAAACAACTCAAATGCTTTATTATAGATGATGGTGATGCAAGAAGAAATTGAAGCCCTTCATAAAAATAATACATGGGACCTTGTGCCATTACCACAAAGAAGGAAGCCAATTGGTAACAAATGAGTCTTCAAAATCAAGCGAAATGGTGACGATCAAGTTGAGAGGTATGGTGCAAGACTGTTGGTCAAAGGATATGCTCAAAAAGAAGGTATTGATTTCAATGAAATATTTTCTCTTGTGGTTCGACTAACAACAGTTCGAGTAGTTTTGGCAATGTGTGCTACATTGAATTTATATCTAGAGCAGCTAGATGTTAAAACAACTTTTCTTCATGGAAATCTTGAAGAAGAGATTTACATGCTCCAGCCTGAAGGTTTTGAAGAAAAAGAAAAGAAGAACTTGGTTTGCAGGTTGAACAAATCTCTGTACGGTCTAAATCAGGTGCCGAGGTGTTGGTATAAAAGATTTGATTCATTCATTATGTGTCTTGGATACAACAGACTTAATGCAGACCCTTGTGCTTATTTCAAGAGGTCTAGTGATAACAATTTTTTTATATTGCTGTTGTATGTGGATGACATGTTGGTTGCAGGACCCAACAAAGATCATATTAAAGAATTAAAGGCACAACTGGCTAGGGAATTTGAAATGAAGGACTTGGAATCAGCAAACAAGATTCTAGGGATGCAAATTCACTGAGACAGAAGTAATAGGAAGAT